TGGTCGGGTATTCTGTGTTGTTGGCGGAGCTCTCTGCTATACATCCACCTGATCCGCCATCTTGTTTGTTCCTCCTCCACCACTCATCTTTCAGCTTGCTGTGCTGTGTGGCTAGCATGTCACTGTGTGGCTGGTACCTTGAATCTACTTGATATGGCTTTTCTCTCCAAAGTCTTCTTAATTCCCACCAAGTGATTAGGTGGGACCATGAAAACAAGATGCACATGACTCTAAGGCTGGGAATGGTTAGTTTTGCCATCCAGCTAGGTTTAAAAGGCGCCATCTCAGAAGCACCAGCCAGACAACCCCAGTACCATCAAGAAGGAAGAGTATGAGTGAAGCATGAAGTCCTTACCTATTAAGGAGGTACCAGTAGAGGCATGGCAGAGACAGTGGCATGGAAAGAGAGAGCAGCTGAGGTCTCCAAGTCCATGGACTGAGTAAAGCTGAGTGCCTACGGGTAGGAGGCTGGCCTGTAGAATGTGCCCTTTGGGCATTCACAGAGCTTTGTAACACCAGACTGAGCAGTACAGAGACCAAGTGGCCATGTGGCTGAGAAGACAAGAGTAAGATGTGCCTGTAGTATGGCAGACAAGAGGCATTCCTGACTAAAGAACTGCTGCATCCTGAGTTTTCCTGGTCCTTCATTGTACCCTGTTCAATCACTAATAAACCCCATCATTGTGAGTATTGTTATGAGTTCTGTGTGGCCTTTGCAATGGATTATGGAACTCAAGATGTGAAGCAGAGGGAATTTTGAGAGGAACTGTTGGTGTCAGCACAGGTTTAAGAAGGTTGTAGAATGGAGGCATGCTTGATCTCCACTTCATAGGAATGAGCCTTGGGTTGATTTAGAATTTGATTCTCTTTCCCCCTTGTGAAGCCAGTGGAAGTCAGACATAGTCCCCAGTTGTTTTAAGCACACTGATTCTGAAAGTTATGCCACCAGTATTTCAAATACCAGCAGGGTCACCCATGGTGGACAAGTTTCAGTGGAGCTTTCAGATAAGACAGACTAGGAAGAAGGTGTAGGTGGTCCACTTCTAATGGATAAACTGCTGAAAAATTCATGAACAGCAGTGGAACAATGTCTGATATAATGCTGTAAGATGAGTCCCTCAGGTTAGAAGCCACTCAAAATACAACTGGGGAAGAGCTGTCTCATCAAAGTAGAGTCAACCTAAACTACAAGTACTGAGGTTTTCAAGACCTTCAATTGCTGATGTGGCATAACTAAAAATGAGGAACAGCTCCAAACATTCACTGATAATTGGAATGTGAAAAGTGCACTGTATGAATCTAGGCAAACTGGAAGTCATCAAAAATTATTTGGAAGGCATAAGTATTGATATGCAACACATTAATGAGCAGAAATTGGTATTAGGCATTTCAAATTGGACAATCATATAATGTACTATGCTAAGAATAACAAACTGAAGAAAATGGCATCACATTCATTATCAAAAAGAGTATTTCTTAGTTTCAGAGTGTGCTGAGGAAGGTAGAGCCCCCAACTGAATAGCTTTCATTTTGTCTAGATAGGTCTAGTGAAAGGAGACGGGGATAAGATTCTTGTGATTCAATAGTGAGTAATTGTTAACATGACTAATTGCAATTGTCACAGTAGAAATTTTGTAACAAGAATGGGGGAGTAGTTAATCTTACAAAGCCCAGGAACAGAGGACCCTAGGACCATCAAGAGAGAAGAGCGTGAGTGGAATGTGGGACCCTAACCAGAGAAGCAGTGACACCAGAGATGGAGGCAGAGATAATAACCTGGAGAGACAGAGCAGCTGAGAATTCCAGACTCATGGAAAGAGGAAGGCTGTGGGCTGGCAACCAGGAGGCAGGCTTGCAGAATGTGCACTTTGGTTGTTTAAATGATTATACATTCCTGAGTATTTTTGGGTACATCCCTCCCCCCAAAATACAAAAAAAAATCCAGAGGGAATAGAAGCAAATACTGTTGAATGATGATGCATGGAAGGGATTGTAATCATTGCAATGAAATGAAATATGACAGGATGAATGTAAAACCAATGTTCTCCCATGTAAACTATCATTCTATTCACAAATATTAAAAAAAAAAAAAAAGAATAGTTCAAGATATATCTTGAAGTGCAATGCTGTCTGTGATAAGATAAAATCAATATTCCTATAAGGAAAGTCACAAAATACAAATACTATTCAAATTTATGCACCAACAACTAAAGTCAGTGATGAAGAAAATGAAGAATTCTAACAACTTCTTCAGTCTTAAAGTGATAAAACATACAATTAAAATTAAGGGTGGCTGGAATGTGAAAGTTGGAAACAAAGAGGAAAGGTCAATAGTTCAACTATATGGCTTTGGTGATAGAACTGAAGCTGGAGATCAAATAATAGAATTTTGCAACACCAATGACTTATTCATTGCAAAGACCTTTTTCAACAACATAAATGGAAACTATACATGTGTACCTCACCATACGGAATACACAAGAATCAAATTAACTCCATGTTTGGAAAGAGAAAATGAAGATGCTTAATATCATCAACCAAAACAAGACTACAGGTTCACTGCGGAATCAATTGCTCATATGAAAGTTTAGGGTGGAACTGAAGACAGATAAACCATGACCACGAGGGCCAAAATAAAACCTTTAGTACATACTTCCTGAATTTAAAGACCTACTCAAGAATAAATTTGATGCACTGAACATCAATGGCCAGAGACCAGAAGAGTTGGGATGACATCAAGAATACCATAAAAGAAGGAAACCAAAAGGTTATTAAAAAGACAAGAAAGAAAGAAAAAAACCAAAATGCCAGAAGAATCTCTGAAACTTGTCTTAGAATGAAAACAAAATAAAGCGACTATAAGAAATGATTAAGTGAAAAGAGCCTAACAGAAATTTCCAAAGTGCAGCCCAAGAAAAAGGAAATTATCATCATGAAATGCATAAATACCTGAATTATAAAACCGTAAGGAAAAATCATGCTTATTTCTCAAGTTGAAGGAACTGAAGAAAAACTTCAAGCCTCTGATTGTAATATTGAAGGACTATATGGACAAAATATTAAATGATACAGGAAATATTAAAAGAAGATAGAAGGAATACACGGAGTCACTGTACTGAAAAGAACTGGTTGATATGCAACCATTTCAAGAGATAACATATGAACAAGGACCGATGATACTGAAAGAAGTCTTAGCTGCACTGAAGACATTGACATAAAACAAGGCTCCAGGAATTGATAGAATATCAACTGAAACATTTTAAAACTGAAAGTGCCAAGAAATTTGAAAACAGTTACCTGGCCAACCATCAGAAAGAGGTTCATATTTGTACCCATTCCAAAGATAGGGGACTCAATAGAATGTGGAAATTATCAAACAATATCATTAATATAACATTCAAGTAAAGCTTCGCTGAAGATAATTCAAAACCAGTTGTAGCACTACATTGACAGAGAACTACCAGAAACACAAACTGGATTCAGAAGAAGAAAAGGAATGAGACATATTGCTGACATCAGATGGACTTTGACTGAAAGTAGAGAATATCAAAAAGATGTTTACTTGGATTTTGCTGACTATGTAAAGGCTTTCAACTTGACGGCCCTAACAACCACTGGCACAGTGATTAATCATTCAACCGCTAAACAAACTATTAGCAGTTTGAACCCACCAGCTGTTTGCTCCACAAGAGAAAGATGAGGCAGTCAGCTTCTTCGATAAAGTCTTGGGTAACCTATCCAACAGTTCGACTCTGTCTCAGAGGGTCATTGTGCATAAGAATCAACTCAATAGCACACAACAACAAAACCATCTTAAATAAGAGACTCTGAGGCCTTAGAACAGTGATCGAAGTGATAGCTATCAGCAACATGAAGAAAAAAAGAACATGCTAATAGGACAGCTAACAACATCAACAGTAGGGCAATAAAAATGAAAAATAGAAATAAATGAAAAAAACTTGAAAACTAGGATTTAATAATATTTTTCACAAATTAAAGACAGGCTTTCAAGGGTTTTTTTTTTTTTTCAATTTCCTTACTTATCAGTGAAATGTTTCTTATATTTTTAAAAAGATGCAGTTTGCCAGATTTTAATTTTCATGAAGTTGGATAGGTACATTTTTAAAATCTGGTTCAGCCATTCATGATGTCTTTGGATAAGTTATTAAACTTTCTAGGCATCAGTATGTTGTCTTATAAATAGGAAATGCAATTCCTATTATAGATGACAGCATACTTGTAGAGAATCTAGGATTATGCCTGACAGTTAATTTTTCTCCATTCTAACTCAGCATTGAAAAGAAATGACTGAGTTTTAACAAATAAGGCACAAGTAACAAATAAGACAGTAAGGCACAAAAATGAATGTCAAATCATAATCACAAATGATAGTTTCAAGAAAAAAATTAAAACCTAGTAAATATAGAAGTTCAAATCAGAAAATTACCTGTTCCTGAACATCTTCATGTTCTGATTTAAGGAGTTTGATAAAAATTGGAACCGCCCCAGTTTCGATCACTACTTTGGTATGGAGAAAAGTTCCAGATGCCCATGCAGCTTCAAACTAAGAAAAAAGAAAAGCAAAATAAATAAGTACACCAAAGATATTTCAAAGAGGGAGATAAAAGAATGGGAGTAAAGACTTAGGTTAACAAGTTTTAGAAAAAGGTTTGTTATTAATAAGATTCAACATGAAGTCAGGTTTCATAGATTAAAGTCCTTAATTAAAAAAAAGAAAAATGGATTCTTCAGTTTGGAAAAACAAGAACTGAGAAGGATAAAATGTAAATTTATAAAATCACAAATAACAAACAATTATAGTGTAAGTCAAAAAGTATTGCTGCTAGTTCCAGTTCATACATGCATGGGTTTACTCCAAACAAAGCATGTCTAAACATATCTCTGTGCTCAGTGGATGGCTGCAGACAAGTCCTAGCAGGAATACACTTGTGTTAGTCTCATTAGGGTGCCTTCAAAAACCATGGCTTCAGAGAAGAACTGTTAGGCCAGTTACATTCAGAGCACAGAGGTTAGCTCAGAAGGTTAAGGCATCTGTTTTTTGGAATTCTTAAGGGAATAATTGTGATAGATCTTTCTCAAAAGACACAGGATGATCACTGGAGATAATCAGGTAGAAGTTTTACGAGAGATGAAAACTACCTTGGTGAGAAAAATACCAGGAAATGTGCACTGAAGAAATTTTTCCCTTCACAAAAATGAACCTGCTTATTTTTCCAGGGTAGCAAGACGTGTACTTCGAGAATTTCATTGGGAAAGCTTACCCTATCCACCCTACAGTCTGATCTTTCCCTTCAGACTTCTTTTTGTTACCTAAACTTAAAGAAAATTGAAAAGGAACACAATTTGTGTCTATCCAGAATTCCAAAACTGCCATTTTGACGTGGAATTCTTTGACAAAGGGTTGTTAGTGTTAAGTGATAGCAAGTTGGTTCTGACTCATGGCGAACCTCTTGGGGCTTCTGAGGATCAGCTGGTGAGTTTTAACAGCCAACCTTGCAATTCAAACTGACCTTGTGGTCCAGAATTTATCCTAGAGAGATGGAAACACCATCTTCAAATATGTTGAGGATACGTCAAGAAGCAATAATTTCACATTTGTAGTGAAATTCTATGATATTGTAGCAATACTTTTTTACTTAACCTCATATATGAATATGAATATATATATGAGTCCTGGTGTGGTACTGTGGGCTAATGCACTGAACTGCATGAGCCATGACGTCTCCTTGGAAACCCTATATAGGGTCGTTATGGGTCAGAACTGACTCAGCAACGCTTAACAACAACAACATATATGAGTGTAAGTAAAAAAGTATTGCTACAAAATCAACAAAATCTTTATTACTAAACTAAGAATGTAAAGCTATTGTTTCTCGACATATCCATGGACTGCCAGAAGAACTAACAAATCTGTATTGGAAGAGATAAGGATGGTAACACTCTTCTCACAAACTGGAAATGTCAGTAGGGACCAATCCCTGGAGTACATCATATGAATATATATATATACATACATATATTCATATTTAGATATGAAAGAAAAAAGTATTGCTACAAACTCACCGAAAACTTTATTAATAAACTTAGAATGTAAAGCTATTGTTACTTGATATATCCTCGACATATTTGAAGGTGGTATTTCTATCCCTCTAGGATAAGAAGTAGATCAAAAGGTCAGTTACCTTCATATATGTTTACGGAGTCCTATGAAGCACTGCAGGATAAGCACTTAACCACAAGATGTGTTTGAACTGCAAGGTTATGGTTCAAACCCACCAGTCACTTCTCGAAAATCCTTTACATGGTTGCTATGAGTTGGAATTGACTCGACAACATTTAACAACAACAACACAAATATAGCTGAATTTATCATTCACAAAAGTTCTAGCATTTACAATGAGAGAGCCAAGGGTTCTACAGAAAGCAGCTGAACAATAAAGGGCACTACTTAATAATGTGGTGCTATAGGATAAGCACTGAACTGCTAACCACAAAGTTAGCAGTTCAAACCCACCAGTTGTTGTTGTTGTTAGGTGCCACCAAGTCGGTACTGACATATAGCGACCTTATGCACAGCAGAACTAAACACTGACCAATCCTGGGCCAACCTCACTACTGTTGCCACACTTGAGTCCATCGATACTGCCACTTGGCCAATCCATCTCATTGGAGGTCTTCCTCTTTTTCTCTGACCCTCCACCTTACCAAACATGATATCCTTTTCCAGTAACTGGTCCCTCCTGACAATATGTCCGAAGTATGAGAGATGAAATTTGGCCATCTTGGCCTCCAAGAAGCACTCTGGCTGCACATCTTCCTAAATGGATCTATTGGTCCTTTTGGAAGCCCATGGCACTTTCAATATTCTCCTCCAACACCATAACTCAAAAACATCAATTCTTCTACTGTCTTCCTTATTCAAACCCACCAGTAGCACCTTGGAAACCTTATAGAGGGTTGATATGAGTCAAAACTGACTCGATGGCATTTAACAACAACAACTTGATAGAGCAATAGAAAACTTACAGGACTTAGATCCATAAAAGGTAATTTTATGATTATCTAGCTCCAACTTCATTTAATAAAAATGAAAATTGTAAAATGGCACAGTTGCCATTTTTAAAGATTGGTGGAACTTTAAAAAGTTAAACATATGACCCAACAATGTTACTCCTAGGTATATACCCAAGAAAATTGAAAGCAGGGACTCAAATAGATACTTGTACACCAATGATCACTGCAATATTATTCACAATAGCCAAAAGGTGAAACAACTCAAATCTATCAAAAATAACACAAATAAAAAAGAAATGTGAAAATTGGAAGTTCAGGGAGTTAGGTGATTTGTTAAAGAATACCTTATCAGCAAGAACCAGGACTAGGGCTTCTAGAGTATTCCTCTAAGCAGCAGTCTCTGACAGTTTAATCATATCAATTAATTCAGATATGCTTATATTCGGAATCAACTAAGAAAATTCACCCCATAGTTCCCAAACAGTTCCCAAATTAATCAATTATTAAAAATGGAAGAGCAAAGGATGTCAGCTTAAGGACTAAGGTGCGCCTGACCCAAGCTATGGTAGCTTCAATAACCTCATATGCATGCAAAAGCTGGACAGTGAATAAGGAAGACCGTAGAAGAATTGACACTTTTGAGTTATGGTGTTGGAGGAGAATATTGAAAGGGCCATGGGCTTCCAAAAAAACCAATAGATCCGTGTTGGAAGAAGTACAGCCTGAGTGCTCCTTGGAGGCCAAGATGGTCAAACTTTGTCTCTCATACTTCAGATATATAGTCAGGATGGATCAGTAGCTGGAGAAGGATATCATGTTTGGTAAGGTAGATGGTCAGAGAAAAAGAGGAAGACACCCAAGGAGATGGATTGGCCAAGTGGCAGCATCGATGGACTCAAGCGTGGCAACAATAGTGAGGTTGGTCCAGGATTGGTCAATGTTTCGTTCTGCTGTGCATAGGTCGCTATGAGTTGGTACCGACTCGATGGCACCTAACAACAACAACAACATACATTCACAGGCAAACTAAGTACTCATTTGCAGCTTTAAAAAAAAATGCTTTCACATTAATATAGATGTCATTATGTTAAATAAAATTGTACATAAATGTATTACTCAAAAACATAAAACAACAGTTACCACATGAAATATTGTTAGGAGCCATCCAGTGGGATTCAACTGATGGCAACCCTATGCACACCACAATGAAACACTGCCTGGTCCTATGCTATCCTATACATGAAGCCATTTCTGATGCTACTATGTCAGTCCATCCAATTGGAGGTCTCCTCTTTTTATCTGACCATTCATTTTACCAAGCATGATATCCTTCTCCAGGCAGCCCTCCTGATAACACACGCAAAGTATGAGAGACAAAGTTTTGTCATCCTGGCTTGTAAGGAGTATTCTGGCTGTACTTCTTCCAACACAGACTGGTTTGTTGTTCTGGTAGTCTAAGGTACGTTCACTATTCTTCTCTAACACCATAACTCAAATGCATCAATTCTATAGTCTTCCTTATTCACTGCCCAACTTGAACATGCATTATGAGGCTATTGAAAATAAAATGGTTTATTGCTCTTAAACAGGCTAGTGAGGTCTTGTGCAGCAGATTTGCCTAATGCAATACATCATTTGATTTCTTGACTGCTGCTTCCATGAATGTTGATCATAGATCCAAGAAAAATGGTCTTTGACAACTTCAATCTTTTCTCCATTAATTATGTTATTTATTGTTCCAGTTGTGAGAATTTTTGTGTTCCTTACATTGAAATGCAATCCATACTGAAGGCTGTGGTCTCTGATCTTTATCAGTATGCATTTTAAGTCCTCTCTGCTTTCAGGAAGTAAGGTTGTATCATCTGCGTATCACAGGCTGTTAATCAGCCGTCCTCCATCCTGATGCCACATTCTTCTTCATATAATACAGCCTCTCATATTATTTAATCAGGATACAAATTGCATATATATGGTGAAAGAATACAACACTGACACTCATCTTTCCTGATTTTAAGCCACTCACTCAGTATCCCCTTGTTCTGCTCAAATGACTTCTTCTTGGTCCATATACAGGTTCCTCATGAGCACAATTAAGTGTTCTGGAATACCCATTCTTTGCAATGCTATCCATAACTTATCATGATCCACATAGTCAAAAGACTTTGCATAGTTAATAAAGCACATGTAAATAGCTTTCTGGCATTCTCTGCTTTCAGTCAAGATCCATCTGACATCAGCAGTGATATTCCAAATTCCATAACCTTGTATGAATCCAACTTGAACCTCTGGCAGTTCCCTGTGGATGTACAGCTGCAACTGTATTTAAGTTATTTTCAGCAAAATTTTATTTTCATGTGATATTAATATTGTCTGATGATTTCAGCATTCTATTGGGTCACCTCTATTTCAAACGAGCACAAATATGGATCTCTTTCAACCAACTGGACAGATGGATGTCTTCCAAATTTCTTAGCATAGAAGAGTGTCCTTAAAGCTGCATCAGTTTGTTGAAAGATTTCAGTTTGTATT